TTTATAGGTATATAAACATAAGAAACCTCCCCAAATTTCTCAAATTCTCTTTAAATTGTTCTACTTCTTTTTGCTAGATCTCTATTTCTCTTTTTTTTTAGCTCTAGTTAGGGTACACAAAGAACTGCATGCAGAATGCTCGTCACATTCCCAGTCGAAGTTGTTCTCGTAATTGTTGTTTACTCACAGACGCAATGTGCTGCATAAAATAGCCTTTGACCTCGCAACCCCTAACCCCTCCCCCTCCCGCGGTCATCCCTCGTTACCTGTTTGTTTGATGCGTTTTGCAATGCATATAAATTTTATTTGTTCAACTTTATAATGGCAATGGAGTTGATGTTACCACTAAACTCTGTTCTCTTCCGTTCGAACAAGATAAAAAAATAGAGAAAGACAAGCAGATAGAGAGAGAGAGAGGGGGAGAGAGGAAAACAGCGCTAAAGACATATATAAAAGTTTGCTGTGCAAAAGTTGATTGTTAGCAAAAAGTTTTCCTTTTGAGGTAACGCATAAATTTGTATTATTTATTGTTGCTTGTTAGAGAGACCCGGAGACCCGCCTCAGACCTGGCGCAATCTATGCGGTTCTGTGGGTGGCTTCACTTTCCAGAATGCTTTTAAAAGCGCTTTGTGGCTTCTGATTTGTGCACTCATAAAACATATGGTTTATGAGCTGCAACATTGGCAGTTAAATATGCCCACAGAACTTTATATATTGCTTTAATACCCTTTGAGGAATTTTTGAGTTAAGGTATTTGAACTTCCTGCAAGTGTTCGTTTCTTGTGTTGTCATAAACTCTTTAAATATTTAACACATCTATTTTCGTCGTCAGTTTAGATTTCTTTCTAGTTATTTTTGAGGATAATGGAAAGAAGGAAATTTTAATAAATTTATCAATGTATTGCTATAACAGTTTTATTAGTGAATAGCTGTTAAGTTGGCTGCGCTTCGTAACAGTGTCTGTTAAGTTGGCTGCGCTTGTTTAGTTGACAGCTCGTGTTAAGTTGGCTGCACTTAGAGCTTACAGAGTTTATGGTTTTAAGATAACCGGTTCGGTTCAGGATCTAGTTCTTGGTAAAAAACAAATTGGAACTACGTATTAATATATTAAAAAATATAACAATTTTATAAGTGGACAGCTGTTAAGTTGACTGCATTTGGTTAGTTAACGCCTTCTATTAAGTTGGCTGCGCTTCGTTAATTAACGGCGTCTGTTAAGTTGGCTGCGCTTGTTTAGTTGACAGCTCCAGTTAAGTTGGCTGCGCTTAGAGCATATGGAGTATCTAGTTAAAAGCGGCTGTCAGTTAAATGAGACTAAATTGAGAATCCGAGCTAAGAAGTTTATTTCCTTTTGATTTATTTCTATTTCAGTAAATGTTTAAAAGACTTAGAGATGAGCATAGGCTGGTTTTAATGTAGCTTATTCGGTTCGGAATCTACTTCTTGGTAAATAACAAATTGGTATTGCTTCAAGTATTTCGTTGTCGAACACTGTTCCTGCTTTTATGGCTGATGTTATTATTGTTGCTGTTATTGTTGTTGCTGTTATTGTTGTTGCTGTTATTGTTGCCCAGCGGGACCCTTTGTACCACGTACACACACGTCATTTTGTGCCTTTGGCATTTGAAACTTAATTATTGCGCATACGACACGTTCACCCAGGCGCCCACACCCACACACACTCACACACACACACACACACACACACACACACACACACACAGCAGGCAGTTGCTGTTATTTATGAGCTGTTTCAGCTTCTGCGCAAATTTCCCAAGTGCCTGATTGCCTGAGAGTCGACGTCAGACTTTAAAGAATTGCTGGCTTTTAAATTTTATCAGCTGCCTCTGAATGTTTAATGCCAAATGGCCAAAGCGCCTTTCGCTGCGTCTTTTGGCCATTGTCCTGCTGCCATCGCATGCCTTTACCACACACAAGGGATGCATTTGCATGCGCCGTAATTCAAATCGAGGCTAACTCGCCCGCCGATGACCAGGTGTGAGCAGCTTGGGGTCAAAGTTCAGCTCTCTGTCTCTATCCCTTCCCCTCTCTCTGCGTACACTCTCGAATGTCGACTGCCAGCAACAGCAGCTGCCTGCCCCAGACAAGCCCTTTGTCAAAGAATTGCCTGCCCCCTCCCCTCTCCTCTCAGCCCCAACTCTCAACTTGTGAGTGTTTCGCTTGTTTAAATTTAGTTAGGCGCATCTCCTTTATCAGGCCCCACGCTGCACGCTGCGACTAACGAGCCGCTCAATTTAATCAGCCTTTGTGCCGCATATTGCCAATGAGAGACAGAGAGAGAGAGAGAGAGGGGGGCAGAGAGGAGGGAAAGAGAGGGGCCGGAGCTTAAAAGTGCATCATGATATGTGCAGCACTTGTGAGTTCTCTCTTTGACTTTTATGTGACAGCAGACATGGACTAAAATACATTTATATATACGTATATATATATCTATCGATTTAAGCAGATGTTTTCTGCAGTTTTTAAATATGTAGGATAATAGGATATATATGATTCTCGAGCATCTCAACCTAGCTTTACACTAATGGGATTAACATTATTATACATTAACATTATTATATGTGATTCATTCTTCAATAACTTCGGTCTATATGTTCCGAGCTACATTACATTTTGAAGTTCTAAGAGATATAATGATGGGCATATATCTAAGCATTTCCTTTTAGCAATTTATTTGAAAGCGCGAGAAGGTTTTCCAAAAGTAGCATAAAGTCGAATAAGAAAATATATTCAATTTGCTGTCTTAAGGGAAAATTAACAGATAGTAGAGAGCACAGACGGGTTTTTCAATAATATTGAATATTTATTTATTTATTTATATGTCAAACAGATAGTCCCTGATCAAGTATATATATATCTATACTTTATTGTCTTGGAACTGACTTCTCCTGCCTGTTGACGGCTTTCTTGATCAACATTAATATTTCGTGAATAACTTTCCCTTAATATTTTAAGCAAATCATAAACAGTATTTATAAGCTTTAGGTAAACACGTCTCACTTTCTTGAACTCTTGTCGCACAATTCTTGTTATTTCCCGATATTATCATCATTTTATGAACATGTTTTATGCACTCGGCAATCGTAACCAAAGGCCACAAAGCGATTTGTGTCAGCTTAAGAGCGAGGCGGGCGGGGGGAGTGCGCTTTAATCAATTTGAATTGGCCTTAATGCCAGGCATTGGTCAATGGAGCTGGCCATAAAGCAGAGCGCGGCACTTTATGCCAAAACAATTCCATCTATTTGCGCATTAACGCCACGTTTGCGGCGACTTGGCGTGGAGGTGGGCTGGCTAAGGGGAGTGTTGTACAAACAATGGCGCATTCATAAGCCCAAGGTTAAACCGCTAAAAAACAAAAAAAAAAACAAAAATCATTAAGCGCCATTGTTTTGGCTCTGTGCTAAGCCAAATGAAATGGGCATGAAATGAACATATACAAAATGCCAAGACGCCAAAGATTTATGCCAATGGCTCTTGAGCACCTTGATGTTAGCGCCCCTCCCCCCCCCCCCCCCCTCCTCCCCTCTCTCCACCACTGACTCCTGTGTAACTAATGAACGACGGCCGCCTTAAGAATTGCGCCTCGAACTCAAGAGTTTGAGTCCAAGTCCAAGTCCAATTCTCAGATGCGGTTGATTTTTTGTAAATTTTCTGGCATTTTCTTGGCTTTGGACATTTATTTAGCCATTCGGCTCATTGGCACTGGACCACATTGAACGCCTCTGTGGCTGCGACTCCTCCTTTAGCACGTTTACCAACACTGCTCGCTGCTGCTGCTGCTGCGGCTGCTGCTGCTGTTGGCCCTCTGCCTGCCTCATTAATTTCGCTTAACTTCACAAATTGCCAATTGTGCGCATTGGTCAACAAAATGTTCCTCTTGTTGTTGTTGTTCTTCTTATTGTTGTTGTTGTTGTTCTACTTTGAGTTCTCTGCAGCGTCCAACTGCGAGCATTGTTCTCAATGGCTCTGTTGCTCGTATTTATTGCCCAGACTGCCAATTTGTTTTGTTTGCTGGCATTGTTATAAAAACCACTCACAAAGGCAAAGGGTATCATCACTTTGTGATAGCCTTTGTCAGTTGTTAGATATCAATTAAAGCTGATGTGCAATATTTTCTTAAAATTCTCAACTGGTTAAAGCAGATCATGCCATGCATCCCAAGCTAAATCTATTTAAATTCTTCAGACAGATTTTGTGGGAAAACTTGCCTTATAATTCCCAACTGGTTACAGGTTTTGTCAGTTATTAAAAATAAACAACTTTGCTTATAATTCTCAACTGGTTAAGGCATGTCTTGCAAGGGACCTCCCAAGTAAACTCTATTAAAATACTTTAGACCAAAGTCCTTTATATATCTTCTCTTACTGAAATTGAAGTGTATTCAATATTTGTAGCACTATTTGCTTACAATTCTCAACTGGTTAAGGCAACCCAATAATCTCCCAGTCTTAAATCTATGTAAATTCTTCAGATATTTGTAATCTTTTCCCTTTACTGTAAGGGAAGTGTGTAGAATATTCGTTGCACTGCACAAAAACTGTAGCTAACTTATGACCATTGTTGCAGCAATTGTTGTGACTGTGAAAACACATGAATTCTTAGTTTATGAAGTTCTGCAGCAATTGACCGCCTCCAGGCTGCCTCCTGCCTGCCTCCTGCCTGCCTGCCAGACAGTTGATGTGTGTCTGGCACGTTACCTGAATCTCTGGGCCAGGCCCCACACAGTCGCCCGCCTTCTCGGGTTTTGGTTGGACAATAAATATTGTGACAAATTGCCATCACACGGCACAAATGGGCATTTTATTTAGTGATGACTTTTGTGTGTGGGCTGCGTAATGCGGCAAGCAGCGGCCACTTTTAAGCCATGTCACAGCTGAAACTTGGGACTGGCATTCACAGCTCGATTAATTAAGTTTGGCAAAGTTTTTGGGCTGGCATTAATCAAATTTTCGTTTGTTCTACACACACTCACACACAGGATGCGGACAACAGTTACTCGAGAAATCACATTGCCGGCACCCTGACGGCCCACAAGCAGAAGAAGCTGGGCACGCCCGAGGCTGTGCTCAACACACAGCGCCAGCTGGCCGAGGACAAGGGTAAGCACTGGCCCAGGTGTGAGCACAACACCTAAACAAGCTAATCACACTCGAACTCCGTTTTGCAGCCAAGGCAAGAGCACACATGGAGGAGGTCAGGGATGAGAACATTTGCCGCTTGCCCCAGCGAAGATGCCTGCGCATCGAGCGGGAGACATCGAAGACCTACTCGCCGCACTGCACCAGCGTCTATCGCTGTGCCGAGGACAGCGGCTGCTGTCCACAGCGCAACGAGATCTGTGCCCCCAAACGCACCCACAAATTCGAAAGGCATTTCAATGTAAGTACACGCAATTTACTTACCTTTGAGCTAAACAAGCTGCTAGCTTTGCTAAGTTATAATTGAAAGAGGTCTCAAAAGCGAAAGCTAGCAGATCTAGCAGAGATTTTGATACGCAGGGCAAGGCTTATAAATATTATTGAAATTATTTAATAATATAAAGGCAATCTTTTTGAGAGCTGATCTATGCATAAAATACACAAATTTCTTGGCACTTATGATGGCTTTAAATACTCTACTTAGTTGTTATCGATATATCGATATATTGCTGTGCATTTCGGCAGCCAAAAAGGAAAGGAAAGTTTGTTATCTATCTAAATCTGTTAGCAAAATTCAGCAAGCTTCTCATTTTATAGATCACTTGTAAATTAGTCAAATTCTTTGGCCCAAAAGCAATCAAACAACACTGTTATCGATATATCGATATGTATTGATTATCATGTGTAAGTGTTGTCACACTGCAAAAAAAACTTGCATTCAAATGGGGAACAAACATTTTTCTAGCTTCTCAACGTATATAAGTATTAAATTATTATAAAATCAAAACCTAATTTATCGATATATCGATAGGCGCCTAATTAATTTAGTTGGCGTTGCCACACTACAAAAAGTTGTAGTTCAAATGTGAAACGAACACACTTTCCTAGCTTTTTCTTAAATGTTTTTTGGTCAGAAGCTAGCGTATAGCCGTTTTTATCGATATATCGATAGGCGCCTTTTCGATTTAATTAGTTTTACCACACTGCTTAAAGCTTTAAATAATATGTGGAACAATTGAATTTTTTCAAACTTCTAAAAACATGAAGCATTTAAATATTTTAAGGTCAAAACCTAGCTTATCGATTTATCGATAGGCGCCTATTTGACTCAGTTGGCAAAAGCCTTTAATTCAGATGTGGAATAAGCCCATTTTTTCAAAGTTTTAAAGATATAAAATCATTTAAATATTTAAAGGTTCAACCCAATAGATCGATTTATCGATAGGCGCCCATTTAAATGTATTTGGCGTTGCCACACTGCGAAAAAAAAGCATTTAATTTAAGCACAGCTTTGCCACATTTAAAGCTTGCTCTTAACTGCCTGAATATGTGCCACAAATTGCATATACGCTGCCTTTTTGCCAAATTGGTAATTAAAAAATGTTAATCATGCTGCAGCCGAGCGTTGCCAGAGGGCACAATATATCGGGCACACACCTTGAAAGAACTGAATAAATACATAAACGAAATTCAGCAGCCGGGCATAATTACACTCTCGATTTCAACATATTGAATGCTCGTTACAAAGGTAACAAAGACAACAACAAAATCATGTGGCATAAATCAGCAACAAATTGAATTATCATTGCGTCATTAAAAACTCATTTCGTAGCGCAAACATTAAAAAAAAAAAAACAAATATATATATATAAATTGGAGTAAAATGTATGAAAGAAAAGGTGAAACGATATAATTATGTTGCAACATGACGCCCTCAAGCATGACCTGCGCCCCCAGACGCGGCAGCGACAACAATCAGAGCAATTGCAACAACAAGCACGTGGCTGTAATCGTGGGAGAGAGAGGGAGAGGGAGAGGGAGAGGGAGACAGGGAGGGAGACAGCTGAAGGCACGAGGCAAATAGAAGTCGCACAATGCGCGCCAACGACTCTTGACAAATGGTTACAACTTTTGGGGCATGCACGACTACATACACATATAGAGACATGCATGTATGTGTGTGTGCGTGTGTGTGTGTGTGTGTTAGTTAGGGCCTAGGCCCTACTTGAGTGTAGCGCCTCGATTTGGTTGTTGTTGTTGCTGCCGTAGCCGAGCGCAACGATAGGAAATTGAAAAAAGAATATATAAAAAAAAGAATAAAGAGATCGAAAATATAATAAAAGATCGTTCATGAATGACAGATCCTATTCTATTCATGTATTTGCACCCACGCCTCGGTTAATAGGCCCTGGCACATTGTTTAGCCAGCACTTCGGTTAGCCGCAAAGCCAGCCCAGCCTAATGACTTTTATCGGGCATGTCTGACTGCTAAATACCCTGCAAAACTAAACCAGCCTAACGACTTTTCATTAAAAACACATTAGGCTGTTATAGGTGAGCGTGACAGACTCTGGGATACCCTGCAGAACCCAGCAGCACAAGCTTTCATTGAAAATAGCATGTATCAAGTGCTATAGTCGCGGCTATCCGACTGGAAGATACCCTACACAACTAGCCCAGCCTAACGATTTTTCATTAAGAAACATATTAGAGTGCTTTAGTCGAACGTGTGCGACGTACAGATACCCTACAAAAACCAACCGAGCCTAACAACCTTTCATTAAAATCAAGATCAACTGTACTTATCGGACCTTTCCAACTGTCAGATACCCTACACGCAGGGCCAAGCTGCCGTCTTCCATACATGCATACACAAAAACACACACACACGCGCGCACACACACACACGTGAGCATCTTGTGCATCATTTGTGCTTCTTCTTCTTTAATACCCTATATTTATGGAAAATGCTTTCTTGCCTAACTTCGGTAGTTATCGAACGATCTTGATGAATTTTTCGAAGCTGAAATATGGCCTAGAAATATGTGTGCATACTTAAGCGCAAGGTTCCACCTTTAAAAATTATAAAATACCTGATATCGGAAGAAATGGAGGAGATATTCAAAAGTGAAATATGCTTTTTTCTTGTATCAGACGATAAGCTATATGAGAAGTTAAGTGCACATAGCTTTTAGAATTAGCATAAATATACACATAAATGTGTGTATATATATATTTATATATATTTAAATTTATATCTGAACAAACTGAATAATTGAGTTCTGCGCACTTTTGGCAGAGTGCATGTTAACCAAGTTAATCCCCAGCTGAGACCTGCACGAAAAACCAAATTAGTCGAGCTGTGTGCACCTGACCCCACTCTCTCACCTCACCCCCCCCCACACACACACCGCCCCCCTCCCACCCCGCGCAGTAGAGACAGCTGTCAATGTGTGTGTTGTAGAATTTGGTGCAAGACTGCAACTGTCGTCGGGCATTTGGCATAAAGTTGGCAACGAAAAGTTGGCCTGGCTGCCAATAACTGTTCATAGCACGCACGCACTCACGCCGGCAACTGGGCATTAGGTAGCTGCCACGCCCACTGACTATAGCCGCCCACCAGTGCTGTTTACGTGCAATGGCAATTTGCATTCAAGGCGCACCTGAGCTGCGACTCGAGCTGGGACTCGAGCTGGGACTCGAGCTGGCGGCGGATGTGTCACGAAACTGTGGCAACTGTGGCAAGTGGAAGGCACCCATCCCTCCCCCCTGTTCCACTCCAACCTCCCCTAACGTCTCATTGTTTAATAAGCAAAATTAATGTTTGCTTTGGGCCCGGCGACAGGCTCCACCCACAGTGCATCGAGCTGATTATGCATGTGCCTTGCAGCGAATCGCGCGAGTTCGAGCCACATTTTGTGGCAAATTAATTAAACGACCGAGACGGAGGCACACAAACAGTTGGGGACAACAGGACTGCGGACCAGATTGGACATGGCCAGCGATTTGCCTGTCAGCCAATTGACTTTTACTTTGCCAATGCCAGCCAGGTGGGCGACATGGACATGGACATGCAAGCGGTGCAAGCGCAGTCGGAGGAGGAGAGGGAGTTAGCGGAGGCGTTGGCTTTCACGATGCGAAGGCTCTTCTAGCTTCTGGCCTGGTCCGGGTGAAAGTCATCTCACACGACATCTCTCTTTCGCCGTGGTGCATTGAACCCAGAACCGAGGCGAAGCGTCATAAATCTCGCCATGCTTTGCAGCATGTGCCTGGGCCCGAGCTCGCCTCATGTCGTCTGGCCTGCCGTGGAACGCTGGGGCCAATGCACTCCTCTGTGTGCTGTGGCCAACAATGCAGACTGCACTTCCCGGTGCCCCCATCCCCTCCCCCTTCCCCATCTCTCACCCGCTCCACCCTGAACAAAATTTGCGCAACATAAATTATGTTTTGTAAGAATGTTTTTTTGATGCTGCTCGCCGGGCTGCAGCACTCCTTTGCCCTCAACTCCTCTCTCTCTCTCTCTCTCTCTCTCTCTCTCGCTCTCTCTCTCAGTCTATCCTCCTGCTGCTCTCAAGCTGTTTGCCTGGCACTTGACACCTCTCAATGACAGCCGCTGAGCTGCCTCTTTGGCTCGTGTGTGCGCAAACTTTGGCTCCCAGCTCCAGCTCCAGCTCCAGCTCTCCTGCTCCAGCTTCCACTCCAGCTGCCACTGCTGCTCCTGGCCACATATTCTTGTGCTTTATGGAGACAAGCAGCAAAGCGGTTATTTATTCTTTTTTTTGCTTGAGTATTATTTTGTATGCTTAAGCTGGCAGATAACATTTTCGCAACTTTGTGGGCACAAAAAGTGACCATGGAGGACAAGCTGAGCGCAAGTTGAGTTATTTCAATTTCATTTTCGACGAAGCTCTACATATATTTACCAAAAGCAGGCGCCTGAGCAGGATGCCTTAACACATAGTCTCCCTTACTCTACTCTCTCTCTCTCTCGAGACCTTCGAGTTAATGTAGGGTATTCAAAGTTCGACTTTAACTGACTGCGTTTGACTTTCAGGGAGCGCATTGCCCCGGCATAATTCCTGTGGTCTTGCCTAACTTTTATTGGATAATTAAGCGCTGCGCCTCGCCAAGTGTGCGTGGGCGTGAATGGGCGTGGCTGTCTTCTACTCACGGCTTGTTTTTGCCCCTCAGCTCTCGTGTGTGTGCATAAATCTTCGTGTCGAAAACTTTTTCCCAACAAGCGCATCATAAATATTTGAAAATTAAAAGCCCTCCACAAGGCGTCGAATGGGCTGGCCGGGGAGGGGAGGGGAGGGGATTGGAGGGGTTTTTCACCTGCTTATCTGCGGCAACAAGAGTCATAATTAGATGCATGTAAAGGCGGTTAAGGCAGGGCTCGTATTAAGATGAAAATGTTGCAGAAAAGCTTCTGTCAAATGACCCCGAAAAGAGTCCAATTCCAATTAAATGCAGTTGAAAATTGTTGTCCTAATAGAGTTTATGCTTTAACCGCCTGAATGTGAATAAATGTTAATATTTTAATAGATTTTCATAATGCTTCATGCTTCATGCTTTATGCTTCATATTTCAACAAGCAGATATAGTAGTATATATTATAGTCCTCTTGTTACATTTGTCCTCTTACTTTGTCTCTTATAACATTTATTTCCTTAGCGATATCTACTTAACATACTGTTATACTTAACATAGCTGGCAACACTGTAATAACCTAGCTATTCTATTATGCAGAATAACTAGTCCGTGCAAAGTCGGGTAATTTCAGCAATTCTCTCTTCCTGTCCCTCTCTCACACTCACTCTACCTCTCTCTCTGCCTGCAGTTTCGTGTGATTTCTCTAGTTTCTCGCACACTTACCCAACACTGCCACTTACCCAACACTGTCAAGTAGTGTTAATAGCTTAAACGCCCACGACGCATGCAATGCACTACAAATTGTTCTACATTTCACATGCTTGGCTTGAGTCCTTGATGCTTGGTTCTTGGTCTCCTTGGCTGAGTCGAGTCCTTCTCGGTGCTGGGGACGTCTTCTGCAATGCAATAACTGACTAATTGCTTGAGTCCAAAGTGCGCACACGAGAGCGCCAAGTGCATTTGCATATATATTATATATAAATATGTGGCACAGGCTTAGCCCAATTAGAGGCGTGGCTTGTCTTGGGGGGCGGTAGGGTAAAGGCAAAGGCCCGGCGTATATGTATCATGCATGGAATTGAGATCCAAGCACTTTGAGAAGTGCTTGCGCACACAAACCACAAAGAATCGAGAATGGAGAAAGGCGTAAGGCGAATGGAGAAAGTAACAGCAGCACTTTGCACTTCCGTTTCCGGCAATTATTCGGCTGACGAGCTCTTCAGGCGAGCTCAGCAGGAATTTTTGCCACATGCAATCGGGCGACTGCTGCAATTTTCTTCAAATTTTATGCTGGTTGTTAAAAATGGGGGGCGGTGGGCGGTGGGCGTGTTCGCCAGTGAGATATGTCAAGCATGAAAAACATTTTCAATTCGTTGCATTCAACAAATTTGCATAAACATGCCACCAAACTTTGAGCACGCCCACAAATAACAAATAAAATATACTTAAATGCAATTTTCTCTGTGTACTCATGTGTGTGTGTGTGTGTGTGCGTGTGTGTGTGTGTGTGTAACAGCGCATAAAAAGGTTTGAAATCATGTTTTTCTACTTTTTGATCAGCTGTCAGTTTTCTGCTTTGATGCGTCCAAATCAAATTGCAAAGCCTTCGGCCTTTCAATTGTGGCCAACAACATTTTGGGGCACATTTTTGGACCTAATTTGCCTGGCTTCTCAGCCAGCCTGCAGCTATTTACTTAGCTTGATTAATAACCGGCCTCTGTAATTTTAATTAAACGAATCGCGCTTAATTTATGCAATTCATATGGCATTTCATCATTTGGCACTTGTCATGCAACACAAGCCGAGACTCCGACTTTGCCAGCCGACGACAAAGCGAATCGGAAGCCGTTCAACTTGTCTCCTAATGCCCGTCGCCAGGGGCTTAGTCCAAGGGGGGACTTGCAAAGTGACAACATTTTGAGCATGGCCCTGAACCCATTAAAAATGTGTAAGAAGGGTATATTGTATTTGTGCAAAATGCAAATGTATGTAACAGGCAGAAGGAAGCATCTCCGACTCCATAAAGTATATATATTCTTGATCAGCATCAATAGCCGAGTCGATCTAGCCATGTCCGTCTGTCTGTCCGTCTGTCTGTCCGTCCGTCCGTATGTATGAACGCAAGGATCTCAGAACCTATAAGAGCTAGAGACTTGAAATTGAATAGATGTAGGTGCTCCTAGTGCCTGCGCAGATCGAGTTTCCGATAATCGATAACTTACTCCGTTTCCAAGCAATCGATAAAAATAGATATCGATATCCTGTTTTTTGGACAATTTTGATAAATAATAAGAGCTAGAGTCAGCAAACTTGACATATAGCTTCGAAAATAGAATATATATATGCATTTGATGTTGGGAGAAGAGGGTTCAGGGTATCCCCTAGTCGGGAGCTCCCGGGTAGAACCTCTTACTTGTTTTTAACTATTTTATTATTATATTTTCTATTTTGGTTCTATTCCTAAACTATTGTATTATTTTGGACAAAAGTATGAGCTTATGCTTGATTTATTTAAAACAGAAAAAACTATTATAGAGAAATTACACAAAAAATGTCGTAAACACAGGAGCTCGATCCCGAAACTTAGCTTATGATAACATTATCGAAGGCCAAACTTTGAAAGCAACTTAAAAATAGTTATATAGAGAGCTATATAAATAGCTCGATGGATTTTTTTCTGCTTCTTCATTATTTAAATTCAAGTATAATATGAAAATTAACAAGAATAGGGCGATTGGATGAGACCTCCACATTCTCCTCCTCTTTGTTATGATTTATGGCAATGATAAGAATCAAAAGTGCCCCCCTTACAATGGGTTCTGCCTACGCCTCTGGCACTCACAAATGGCAACTGACAGCTGACAACTCATTTAGACTTACAAGAGCTATAGAAACAAGAATAACAATGACGACAACTTTGATGAGCAGTCCAGCTTAAGGAACAGACAGACACGCACACACACACACACGCACACACACACACACACGCACACACATGTCTCTTGGAAGTTTTGAATAATAATCTCCATATGCAAATTGACCGGGTCAGCTCGTCATTGAGTGTGTGAGCTCTTGTGCGTTAAAGGCATATTAAGGCCCAATTAGCTAGAAAGTAATAACATGGCCAACTTGTTATACCCATTTCCATTTCAGGTCATGAACCACATTGACAAACGCATCAGCGTCGAGAAGTTGACCCTTGTGAATCACACCGAATGCCACTGCGTGGAGCGCGGCGCGACTCTGGCGGAGGGGCACACAATTGGCACTGGGCCGCAGACTGAGCTGCAGGCCATGCCCCACTTCGAGTGCCCAGCCCTGTTCGAGAAGATATTGGGCAAGGATGGCAAATGGCGCTGCGACTGCTCCTCGAGCAACGATCATTGCAATCTATTCAAGAGCGGCAGCGAGCACTTCTCCCTCAACGATCGCAAGTGAGTTTCAATTCCCTCTAATTCGCAATTACCCCCCAGCCCAAACATTCTCTTCTTCCTTCTGCCTAGACGCATTCGCCAGGGCCTCTACAAGACGCCCACCTGCCAGTACGGGCCGTATATCCAGAAGCACGGCGGCTGCCCCACGCAGCACGAGCAGCTGCCCAGCTACAATGCGCTCGGCAATTGAACCGAAACCGCAAACGGAACCGAAAACGGAACCGGAACCGGAACAAAAGTATTAGCATAAGATCTGTTATACCAGGCGTTAAGTGCAGGCGCGAACTTTTGAACTAAAAACAATTTGTTGTCGAAAGCGAAACCAAAGCGAGTCTTAAGTTCGACTTCGAAGCGAAAAGCCTGGCGAAAAGTAAGTGAATTTAGTTGCATATCCTATATACAGAACGAGAACATATATATCTATATATATATACGCTGATCGATCACACTCAATTTTTGCCCCCTTATTCAAAGCAAAATCATCTTAAATAGCTGTAAAAATATATAAAAAAAACAGAAAAAAAAAGTCGAATTAGCATTGTTCATTGCAGTTTACTCAAAAATTAAAGGGAATATAACTTTGACAGAAGATGAAATACCCTTGCATATAAAAATACTGCGAAGGCAGCTAAAATTCGATTTCGATTTCGATTTGTTATCGATACTTCGATAAGTTATCGACGCGAATCATCGCCCATTCTGCAGATATATGCACTCATATATATATATATATATTCCTGATCAAGCTCGAGAATAGAATATCGATTGCAAGGGTATCGATCATATCGAATACATTTATGTAATAATATTAATCGAAAAAATGAAACTCAATAATTCTGCAATTCTACAACTATTCCAAAATCGAAAATTGACTGCGTTTTAGTTTAAATTTACTAATGTTATGTTATTTAATTATAAAACTAAACGAAACGAAACGAAACGAAACACAGGATTAACTTAATATTATTAGCAATTTTAAACAAACTACATATACATATTATTATCGAGATCATAAACAATATCAGCTAGAAGAGGAAGACACTCAAAACTGCTCACAATACGGAGAGAAATGTTAAGCATTTGGTATTAAATAAATACCAACTCGTTTAAATTATTCAGTAATTTTCTAGTCAACGTATTTTTTTTTGTCTCGCTCGAGGCATACATATATATACCATATAATCGGACAAAATACATAGATCCCTCACTCTCTCTCTCTCTCACTCTCTCTCTCTCTCTCTCACACACACTTTAACAATGAATATATACGGAATTTATAATTTACTCAAAAACCCACCAACAACAACAACAACAACAAGGACAAAGACAACAACTTTTGATTATGATTTTTGCATTTTCAAACTTGAGACAAAAACGAGTTCAATTCGGTTTAATTCTTCTTCTCGAAATTGTGTTGTGAGAAATTGTAACATCTGGCAATAAATTGCAACAACTCTAGATGTTTTTGCACAAAAAAATAAAAATATAATTAATATAAGTATTTTGAGTTGTTTATGCTTTCGGTTCATTAGGGCTGCAAATGCCATCATTTGAACTATTTAAGTCGCATTTGAATTGTATTCAGTTAATCGCAAATGAGTTCACAATTTAATGAGTCCATTCACAAATCAATTCATTTGCAAGCATTCACAATTTATGGGCAAAACAATGCGCCGTTCATATTTCGCGTTGCAACATTTATTTGCCATAATTCATGAGCAATTTATTTATATTTATTGTAGTCCACACACACACTCACACACACACACACACGCACACACACTCAGTAGCAATTAAATGCGCAATTCAACACATAAATATTTAAACATTTATGCATTGCTTTTAAATGTTATCATAGAATTATGTGTGCAAAACAAAAAGCAAACATTTCAACACATTTTATTTCTAACTTTTAGCATAAATTTTAGTGTATAAAAACAAACACAAACACATTTAAGAACATCAAGCAAACCATACTTATAAATAATTGAACAAATTATTATTACTATGCAAAAATCCAAATAAATATTATAAAAATAGAAAACCAAAAACAAAACAACATTGCTTAAAATTCGAGCTAACAGCTGTAACTGCTCGTTAACAGCTGGCTTTAACAGTGTAATTGTGCTCAAACTAACAGAGTGCTAAAATAACCGGCGCACAGAAATTAAGCAGGCGATCGAAATTCGAGTGTAAACAATGCGCCGCATTGCTTAGAGCATGGTGCACACACGCACAAACACGAGATGAGCCAAGGCCGGAGATAAGCAGCCATCAGACAGCAGTTCGTGTGTGTGTTCGCTGTCATTTATCTAGTTACGCTCACGCGCTCACGATTCTTTTCGGCGCTGATCGCTGATTGGTCCAATCAATAACTGCCGGCAGCGATGTTCTCTGCTCTCTGAGCGCAGCTTTGATGCAGCTGCGCAACTTTTGTCTGAGTCAGTGCGGCCCTATAAGTCAATAGGGCATGTTGTTGTGCTGCGCGATATAGTCTATTAAGCCTGTAATTATTTTATTATACCTCTTTGTGGATCTGATGCGTAAGCAGCTAAGGCTATTTGTTGGCGATTCTCTCTGCATACATAACATATGTTTAGGTAAGTGTTTTTGCAATTGATACGTATTTCCATATGCTTGTGTATAAAATGGAATCAAAATTTGAATAAGTTCTTATTTCATAGCAATTTTCTCCCACCAGCGCAATGAATAGGAAGAAAATGCACAGGCAGTCATACGGTACACACACATATGTATGTACATATATTTGGCGATTCTCTCTGCATGCGTATGTTTGTGTGAGTGCTCTCGCAATTCATGTCTACTTATGCTTGTGTATGATTGCTTACGCGTTATCTTCCTTGGATCTGCGCTCAATCGAGTTGCTGTGCGGCGACTTTTGTCCACTTTGATTTTGTGTTAGTTGAAAGGCAACAGTCGAGTAAAGCAGCTTTAATACAAATTACAAAGGAAAGTTGTCAAGTAAATAACGTCCGTATCTCTAATCATATACGTTATAACCATTAAATAATGGTTTGCAAAGTTTGGCAAAAAATGGAAGCAAAATTTAAACAAGTCCATCGATTTTATAGACTCGCGAATGTTTAAGTGTTCATTTTATTCTTCTCCCTTCGCATGAAATTCGTGAGAGCGCAATGAATAAAAAGATAACGCACAGGCAATCATACGGTAAAGACACACACATGTATGTACACATATTTGGCGATTCTCTGTGCATGCGTATGTTGTGTGTGTGTTCTCGCAATTCATATCTACTTATTATCTACCCTTGATCTGCGTTAACTCGAGCGAGATGATTTCGCTTTAGTTAAACGGCAGCAGTCGAACAAAGATGTTTAATAAGAAATAATTAGTGCAAATTGTTAAGTAAATGCCATCTTTTACGGGTCGGAAGTATAAATAACCATAAAAAAAAATCGTTTGCAAAATTTGACAGAAATGGAAGCAAAATTAAAACAAGTCCATCGATTTTAATAAAGTGTTTATTTTACAATAACTTCCTCTCACGTTCGCAAAAAAAAGTCGTGAGAGCGCGACAAAGAAGAAGACAATGCAAGCAATCACATACACATTGTATGCACATATCTAGCGATTCTTTCTGCATGCATATGTATGTTTGTGTGTGTGTGTTCTCGCAATTGATATGTATGTAGTTGTGCTTGCGTATGATTTTCTTATGCGTTATCTAGCTTTGATCTGCGCACAATCGAGTTGCTGTGCGTCGACTTTTGTTCACTTTGCGTCCGCCCAACGTGCTTTGTGTTAGTTGAAATATAAACTAAATTAGAAGTGAAAATTGTCAAGTAAATGTCGTCCATAACTCTAATTGTATACGTGTTCGGACTTGTACGGATCGCAAGTATTAATAGCCATAAAAAAAATCGTGTTCTTAAATTTGACAAAAGTGGAATTAAAATATGAACAAGTCCATCAATTTTAAAGGATCGCAAATGTTTAAGTGTTTATTTTATAATAATTTTCTGCTCAGTTCGTAACAAATTCGTGAGAGCGCAATGAATAAAAATTCAATGCACAACTAATCATACGGTATACACACATATATATATATATATGTATGTACATATATTTGACGATTCGCTCTGCATGCATATGTTTGTGTGTGTGTGCTTTCGCAATTCACACTTGCATACATACATACTTATTATCTACCCTTGATCTGCGTTCTCTCGAGCGAGATGATTTTGCATTAGTTAAACGGCAGCAGTCGAGTAAAGACGTATAATAAGAAATAATTAGTGCAAATTGTGAAGTAAATGCCATATTTTACGGGTCGGAAGTAATAATTAATAAATCGTATTCTAAAGTTTGCCAAAAAAGGAATCAACTGTTTGAACAAATCCATCAATTCGATTAAAGTGTTTTTTTTTATAATAATTTTCTCCAGACATTCGCTAAAAATTCGTGAGAGCGGCATAAATAAAAAGATAATGCACAGGCAATCATACGGTGTACACATACATATGTATGTATTGCTGTACATGTTTAGCAACTCTCTCCGCATACATATGTATGTTTGTGTGTGTGTTTTCGCACTTGATACCTGCGTATGCTTGTGTATGATTCCTTACGCGTTATCTAGCTTTGATCTGCGCTCAATCGAGCTGCTGTGCGTCGACTTTTGTGCACTTTTTTTTTAGTTAAAAGGCAACAGTCGAGTGAAGCTGATTAAACAAAAATTATAAGTGAAAATTGTCAAGTAAATGTTATCCGTATCTCTAATGTTATACTTTTTCGGACTTGTGCGGCTCGGAAGTATTAATAGAGTCGATTTAATAGACTCACGAATGTTAAATGGTTTATTTTATTGTAATATTATCTTCATCTCGCTCGGAAATTCGTGAGAGCGCGATGGGAAGATAATGTACAAGCCATCATACGATGCTCACACATATGTATGTACATATATTTGGCGATTCTCTCTCTCTCTCTCTCTCTGCATAGATAACATATGTTTGTGTGTGTATGTGTGTTTTCGCACTTGATACCTGCGTATGCTTGCTCCAGTTTTGTGGGTTACTTGCTCTGTTTGCTGTGCGCCGACCAGCTTGGCCAGCACTTGAGTGAAACTCTTTGAGTAATGTAAGGAAAAGTGGTCTGGTCGGATTAATATCGTCCATGTCGGGAATGTCAATTGACATGTAAACCAAAGCGATTTCTGAGCTTTGACTAAATAAAGATCTGATCAAAGTGCTTGCTAAATTCTTCTTCTTGAAGACTTTCACGAACCCCAAAAGGTAAATTCTTCTGAAGTCCAATATTTAAAGTTTACGAAATACTAATTCATTTGTTTCCTTTTTTTAATTCTGCTGCCTGACTGAGCTTGGATATATGCTCATGCCATGGATATATGTTAGCTTACACAAAATCGTATTTAGATTTTGTTGCTGCCAATCTGCGTCGATTCTTAAATCAACATTTTGTAGAATTCTGCCGATCTTTAAGGTATGTCGGACGTAATTAAGCCCATGTATTTAAGTTTACAAAAACTAATATATTTTTCATTTTGTATTTTTCAGCCTAATCCTGCCAACGTTCATGGACAATGTATAATCAACAAATATGTATTTCGATTTTGGATCGGCGGAATTGTGTCCCTTTAAAATTATAAACACAGTATTTCCCGCGCAGAAACTCAGCCAACTCTGCCACGCCCATGGACAAGATTTCATCAGCAAGTGATCGATATATATGGTACCTAGTTGACCGATATATCCTTGGTTATTCCATGTCAAAGATATAGTCCTAGCGAACCTAAAGGACAAAATCTTGCAAAATGTGTATGCTTTTCTTTTACAGCCGCCCCGAGCCACAGTTCCTGGATCCTGGATGGTTTCTAGTTGACTAGCATATCCTTGGTTATACCATACCATCGATATAGTCCTTGGGAACCTAAAGGATCAGATCCCTGCAAAATATGCATGGGAATGGTCCAAAAATATGTATGCTTTTTCTTTCAGGAGCCCTTTTATATGCCCTGCAGCTGCAGCTGTTGCTTAACAGCCGGCTTACAGTGCTCATTTAACATGCACTGCTAACTAACATCACTCATTTTGAGTTACATTTTTGCCCCTTAATGCTATGCTATGAAAATTTTATTCAAACCACTCATCGACCTTCTGGGCGTTTCTGTTCGCCTGGTGTTTTTCGGAAATTTTAGCTAAAAAATCTGGGCCCGGCCGCCGGCTAGGGCGCCCCTTTTGGGTATGCAATGAAATTGTTCGGCAGCTAAAAATATTCTTTGTCGACCTTCTGGGCATTTCTGTTCGCCTGGTATTTTCGCAGATTTTAAGAAAAATCTCGGCTGCCACCAAATGCCCCTTTTGGGTATGCAACAAATTTTTTTTTTTAATTTTTAAATGAAAAAACAGGAATTTCGTTTAAATAATTGATTTATTTACAAAATAGTTGTTTTTTTGCCTTTTTTCTTAATTATTTTTCTTAAAATTATATAAATCGAGCATAAACTATAATTTGAGCTTATTTAAACTTCAAATAGGTATATCTGGCTTAATTATAGTCGAATCCTGGAAATATTGGCTTTGTCAGTCGTGGAGGTCCTTAGAGCTCATTATAGTCCTTAATTTGTCAGTCTGAAAGGATAAAAACACATTAAAATTGAAAAAAACGAAAAAAATATAAAGGCAAATTTTTTCAGAAAAAAGGACATAACTCGGCCATATCCTTGCAGATTTTCAAAGGACATGGTGCGTTAGGATCGTATCGACCCCCTGCATCGATCTGCATCAAAAAAATAGGGGGTCATCTAAGAACCCCAGGACTTGTATTTTTACTTGTGAAATTTTCATCCCGAAGTGCACCGAAATGGCCCGAAAACACAAATCCTTGAATATCTCAAAAACTACAAGGACGATCTTAATGAAATTTGGCCAGTTGGTAGTCCTGGTCAGTACAATTTTTTTGACATAGGACTCGACAGGATACGCAAGGAT